CTCTGCGGTTAGGTGGTGGAAAATAATTTGAGCTGTATTTATGAAGTCTGCGTACATATGGTCTTCGTGGTCTTTGTGCTCTGGTGAGTTAATTTCATGTTTTGTTAGCTTGTGTATGTGTGTGTGCATATATACACAGTACATACATGAACCGCTATGTGCTAATTTTCTACCTTTAGTATCTGCTCAGGGACCCTTGCTGGTGTAGCGGGTTATGTGTTGGGATGCTAACCATGAGGTCAGAAGTTCAAATTCACCAGCTGCTTCCAGGAAGAAAGATGAGGCTTTCTACTTCTGTAAAGATTTGCAATCTACAAAATCCATGAGGGTAGTTCTCCCTTGCCAGATAGGGTAACAATGAGTCAGAATGGACTTGAGAGCCGAGAGTTTGTTTACTTGTTCACTTGGTTTTCAGTATCTGCTCAGATCAACATTGTTTAAATAATGTAATATTTATACTGTTATAGCATATTTCACTAAACATATAATTAGTGTCCTTCCCACACTTAAATAGGGTGTTGGTTGACTCCTCCTGATAAACCATAAGGTATGTAAGAAAAAGGTCATATTTCAGCTTTTTATCTACTATATCAACCAAAACAGGTAAATAGTATTTATTGAATAAATATATTAATTTCAACAAATACTGAACACTACTCCTGTTGTGTGCCATGTTGGCCATGGGCTTGGTTTACAATAATTCCTATAGGAGCTAAGGTTAACTGAGTGCTTAGTATATATGTTACTTACCAAATACCTTAATTGTACTTACCTTAGTCTTCACAGAGTTGAACTACCTAAACTCACTGCCATCAATTTGATTCTAATTCAGTTACAGGCTACTATATAAGTTCTTTGTAGGTGAAGAAACTGCTACTGAGAAGCAAGCATAAGTAGCTAGTTATGTAGTGGCAGGTTTAAACAGATATAGCTGATTCCAAAACACATGCCCTTTCCTCTCCTGAAATAAGGGCTAGCATTAGATAGAAGGAGAAATAGGAAAGATACTTGCCACTTGATAACAAAAGAACAGATTGACTTACCTGATTTACCTGCTTACAGCAAGTTGTATAGTAATTGGAAACTTTCTTCTGTTCTTTTTAAGCCAACACTTTTTACATGTAAAAGAGAGTAAGAGAAATAGAAATGAAAGATACTGCTTTATTAAGTAAATTACATTTGTTTTCACCTTTTAAGCCCAAATTGTTTTAAATTTTCATAACACTCTGAGCAAGATAATTCTACAGATGGGTAAGCCCCAAAACTAAGCTTGCTTCTGTCAAGTTCATTCTGACACATAGTGACTGTGTGTAGGGTTTCTGAGGCTGTAAATCTTTCTCCTGAGGAATGGCTGGTGGCTAACACTGACTTTGCAGTTAACAGTTCAAAACTTCCCAGACAGCACGCCTCTAATTAAAGTGGTATTACAACTTTAGGAATAGGACTTGACGTTGTATTTTCTGGTTCTATCTAGCAAATCAATTAGTACATCTTAAGAATATTTGATTAATTTCATATATATTTTTTAATTTCATATATTACAAGTAATAAAACAAAAATTTTGATATGTAGTTTCATCTTGGTAGATAGCTTTAATATGACCAACTAGGAAGTGCATATAAAGTTTGGTAACAACCATTTCAAGGTTATGTTGCTGTTAATGGTGGCTGTGCTCCCTGAAAAGCCCTTTTGCAAACTGAACTCATGTGAACTCTGGTCCTTAAAAAGTTGATTTTATTTTATTTCAGATTGATATTGAACTGTAAATTATTTTAAAAGTTGCATTGCATTTTAATCCCTTTTCACTTTTATTCAAATATTAAAGAACTGTAGGTTAAGGTACTTAGCTTTTAAAGCAATTGACTTATAATTCGAGTGCTTTACTCCAAATTTACAAGATATTGTTAGATGGAGAATTCCTCATTCTTTGTATCAGTTTTTCATATTGCTGAAGTGCATACTGCCAAAGAGCAAAGTCTTAATTTCTTAATTTTATGGAAGGGAAAGTATTTTCATTTTAAAGATGCATATCAAGTTATTGTGAATTTATACTTACCATTTACAGTTATTTTGAAATGAATGCTTTTGAAGTACCGTCTCCAAAATTAATTTTTTATTGCATTTTAGGTTAAACCAAAATTGACTGTATCAACTCAGGAAAACAGTAGCCTTACTGTCTGTTCATTAAACTGCAGCAACAACTTAAATTTCAACAGTGGAGCAATGATATCAGAGAACAAAAGAACATTTTCCAACTTACTGTCATCACAATTTCAAGTGATTATATAAGCAGAAACAAGCTGCCACAAACCTATGTGTCAGCTAACTAGAAACAGAATGCTTTCTTCTAATCCTGCTTGTTTATGAGAGTTTTAGTATAGATAATTTACTTTGTATATATTAAATGAAATAAAAATGAGTGAAATTCCAAGGTTTTTTGTTGGACCTGAAGATACTGAAGTAAATCCTGGAAATTATCGACATTTCTTCCACCGTGCAGATGACGATGATGAAGAAGATGATGAGTCTGTAAGTTCTTTGTTTGGTGAGAGAAGACTAGTATAGGCTTTGTATTGCTCTTAATGCCCATTAATATGGATATTTTCCATTTTGAACATATTTTTTCACAAAGAATTTTCTGGAAATGTTGAAAACCATAAGAGTATATTTTGGTTCATGGGTGAGATTACTGAACCTATTATACTTCAAGAAATAAAAATTAGGGATCAGACTAGTTGTTTAGTGATGACTACTTAGTAAAAAAATGACGAGAATCATGAAGTGATCAGGACCATAAAGCAAAAGAATTTCTTGTATATAAGAATATATAATAAGTATATCAAGTTATAGAACTAGAAGGAAATAATATTAAAGGAACTGAAGAAGGCACTTATTTAGTCAGTTTAATTAAGTTAATCATATCAATGTAAGTGCTGGTTGACCTGAAGATATCCCTGCTTATTAATAATTCAGAAATCTACAAACTGGCTAAAAGTCAATGCTATGTTGACTACTCCCTGCTTGGTGGACGTGTGTGTGTTTTAAGCCAACCTGTTGGTCTTATTCTCTGACAGCCTGAATCTATATCCTTACTGGATCTTCAGTACTAACATGTATTTATTATGTTCATTTAGCCTTAGTTACTTTAGTACTTTACTTTTAATTTTCATCTTTGTTTCCATTACTTGTATTTTAATAAGCAGAGGTTATTAAAGTTATTTAACAACATTTTTAACAGTGTAATTACACATATCTAAAAGGCAAATTTTACAGTCACTTTTGAAACGTTCATGTAGAGTGGATTATCAAATATCTGCCGACACCTCTATTAATAGCCTGTGTTATTCCAAAATACCCTTGCAAATTCCCTCTACCAACCAAATAATATTCAAGTTCAATCAGAAAAATTAGTTTAATACTGTACAGCTTTGTAGTCAGGCGTAGTCTTCTACTTGAAGGAAGGTAATTTTTCTCTCACTCCAGGTCACCTTTTTACTTGAATTACAAAGGTTTTTTACCTTTTTCTGGTGCAAGGAGAACAAGTGAATGCTAGAGACAATGAAGGAAGAGTATTTGTTTAAGTTTGAAATCTGATATAAAGTAGTAGCTATATTCTGGAAGTGTTTATTTTAGGTTTTTCTCCAAATCTTTAAGTATTATGACATTTAATTAACATTTCTTGTTAATGTCTCACTTATATTGATTCACTACATTGTTTCATTTATTTCTGGAAAAGATTAAGATAGCTGTATCTTGAAGTTTTTTGTATTATGCCATGATTTTCTGTTTCCTTTGTGTTTTAGCCACCAGAAAGGCAAATTGTGGTTGGAATTTGTTCCATGGCGAAGAAATCCAAATCCAAACCAATGAAGGAAATTCTTGAACGGATCTCCTTATTTAAATATATCACAGTAGTAGTATTTGAAGAGGATGTTATTTTGAATGAACCAGTAGAAAACTGGCCTTTATGTGATTGTCTTATTTCATTCCACTCTAAAGGTATTAAAAATTTTTTTCCCCTAAAGGTATTAAAAGCAGGGGAGAGACCCTTAATCCTTCCTGATTATGAAACTGTTAAGTATTAATGGTTGAAATTTGGTGGGGAAAAAAAAAAATCCCAAAAAAGAATATTAAAATTACATATGTTGGTCTCTAACAGATAAGTGTTAACATTGTGATGTATAAATCTGTTTTTCCAGTCTTTGTGTGTGTGTGTTTACAATCAAATACAGTGTTATATATAATTTTACATTTCCTCTTCACTATTAGGTATATCAAGAATTCTTCCCCCTCCATCTTATTTAGAAACATTATTTTTAATGACTGAATAGTGCATCATCCTGTGAATGAATGTTCCATAGTATGTGTCAGTCTCTTAATGCTACATAGTTTTAAGTTTTTCACAATTAAAATAAGATTTTGATGAATTCTTTGAATGTATATCTTTACATCTCTAAATTTCTTGGGATAAATTCTTTGAATTATAATTTGTAAGCTTATATGGTTTGCTATATAGAAAATGACCTATCATTTCTCATATGCTTATACATATTTATTCTTTATTTCCTATGAATTTTAATATTTGAAACTTAGATCTTGGTATCTTTTAATAATAAATATGAAAATTAAGTTAAGCATAATTATGTCAAGGAATTTAAACATGAAACAGAATTATTTTATAATATATATCTGAACATTTATAACCTGAGAACCTCTGTAAATTACTTGAATCTCACATAATTGATATTTAAAAGATATGCTCTTATTTATAAATCTTTTAATATTGAGCCCTCACAGCAGGAGTCCTGGTGGTGCTTTGGGTTAGGCATTGGACTGCTAACCACAAAATCAGTGGTTCAAACCCGCCAGCCGCTCCAGGGGAGTAAAGGAAGCTGCCTACTCCCTGAAAGATTTGTAGTCTTCGAAACCCTATCAACTCACTGCCACTAGGTTTGGTTTTGTTACCAAAATATCTAGTCCTGATCTGTGTGAAAGTTTCACAATAGTTAGATGTTCAAAAAGATCTCCTTCGACAAGTAGTGGGGAGGGCAGGGTTGATAAAATTTCTGGTAGCGTAGTGGTTATGTGTTGGCTGAGAAACCACCAGGCTCTCCTCCAGAGGCTTTCTACTCCCTTGAAGAGTTACAGTCTCGGAACCCATAAGGGCGGTTCTAACCTGCTCTCTGGTGACTACGAGGCATCATCATCTCGATGGCAATGAGGTGGTTTGGTTGGAGGATATAGCTTAAATTGATTGTCATTATTTCATAAAGAACCCAAGGCTCAGATATTTGTGTACTAAACCCCTCATTGCTTAGTCTGAGGGGCATTTCTTTCCTTACCAACACAGGCTTCAAAAGATATTTACCTATAAAAATGAAATCTTTATAAGGTCATGACCCAGATACCGTTTCTGACTAAGGAAAATATTCCTCTTGAAGAACAAATCTTGTTTAGTGGACCTTCAATTTTGCTTCATTTCTAAACTTCATTATGCCCTTTCCTGTTTAAACTGCTCATAACACTACAAAATACAGTGTATTTGCAAATATAATGAAATTAAATCTGGAAATTCTGTGTATTTGTTGATTCCTCCCTTCCCCGCCACCGCCCCCCCAGTGGCAGTGAGTTTTTTATAGATAATATATTCATTGAAATATCATTTACAGAATAATAATAATAGGTAACAGTTACTGATCACTTTCTATTCCAGGCACTGTGCAAAGTTCTACATTCACTATTTCATTTATTCCTTCAAAAACCCTTCTAGCTAGTATGGGTATAATGTCTGTTTACAGCCAAGAATTAGGCCTTAGAGATGCTAGATCTTAGAGAAAAGTAAAGCCAAGATTTGAACCATGTACGGGTTCTTAACTGCCTCTCTTAATGTACATTGATGTACAAAATTAGACTTTAGTGTTAATAGAAATAATCACAAATTTAAAACCATATTTTAGACCTCTCCTTGCTATATCTGCCATTTCATTTGTTTCCATTTAATTAGCATTTTTGTTTGATCATTAAATTCTGATAACTTTGATCTAGCAATAGTGTGATTCTGCTTATTTGTATTATATAAACATATCTTATAGGTGAACTCATTTTGTTCTTGCTTTTTAAATTTTAGACGAAACATACAAAAAAATCTCAGGGAAAAGAAAATATTAAAAACTGAAACAAATTTAAAATGAGTCAAAAGGGGAATCAGATAAAGGCGAATTATATTTTAACTTTAGTACATCTGTCATAATTGACTTTATAATACCCTCTGTCTGATAGTAAGGCTATTTACATCTCGCATCTATGTTCAGCGGGGATTCACTGGAGGCTTAATGCACATGGGGACCCTGCAAATGGATTTTGGGCTTCCATATATAGCCTTCTGCAATTCAGGTGTTCACAATTTAAGCTCTGATACCATTCCCTCCTTGGGATTTGGGTTTTACTTTTTAAGATCTTTCAATCATACAGACTGGTGTTCTTCCATGTGTACTTAGTTGATGCCTCACTCAGGTGGCTTGCTTGTTTTAAGACAAGCCTTTAAGACATCAGATTCTTATTTGTTCTGATAGATGGGCACCATCTGGTTCTTTACTGCACTTTGCTATAGCAACTGTATCTTTAATGATCGCTTTATGGCTCGGTGAGCATTGAGCAGGGTCATGTCATAAGAACTAATTGTTCTTAGATTGGTGCTAGAATTAAGTGTTAGCCCCAAATCCACTCATATATCTATGCTTTATATTTGTCCCTGGTTCTTTCCTGATGTTATTAAAGGCGGATAAGTTCTTTGAATTATCAACTCGTTTATGTATATAGACATTAACATTTCTAAATGAAAATATCTATTGAGTAGATATTTTCAAACCCAGATGATTATGGTGCTTTTTATGATACTTGAGCTTTTTGTAATTAGTTTTTTCCTTGATGTGAGGTAATCTTATCTTTTATCAGGTAACTAATAAGCAGGTATTAACATATCAGTGCTCTAATTTGTTTCTGTCACTACTGGATTATATTTTTTCAGTGAAAGTAGCTAGTAGAAAGTAAGATATGTATAATAGTATAAGGTAAATCAAGGTTTATGTGTCATTCCTTTTAGAAAGTTGTTATATGCATAATGAAATTATTTTATGAGAGGAGGCATTCAAATTGATAAATTTAACTATTTTGAGATTGTACAGATTTTAAATAATATGTGTTTTTAGGATTTCCATTGGACAAGGCAGTTGCCTATGCAAAACTCAGGAATCCATTTATAATCAATGACTTGAATATGCAGTATCTCATACAAGATAGGTGAGTGGTCCAATTGGCTCAATTAAGGGAAAGAACATTAGTATTTAGTAGCTACTCTATGATGACACTGCTAACCACAGGTTGGTGGTTCAAAATCACCAGCAGCTGTATGGGAAAAGGATGAAGCTATCTGTGCCTGTAAAGGTAATAACCTCGGAAACATCATGGAATCAATGGGAGTGGGTTTGGTATATGGTAACATGATTAGGTGTGGACTGCTAACCACAAGGCAGGTGGTTCAACCCACTAGCCTCTCCATGGGAGAGATTGAGATGGTCTCTTCCTGCAAAGATTTTGTCCCAAACTTTATGTATGGTTGCTAGACATGGCGTCAGAAGTTTTCACACACATTAATTCATGCTCAGAAATAGGTATTTGCACTCAGTTTTACAGATGAAGAAGTTTGGAAATCGGGATTAATTTACCCAATGCCACAAATACTTCAAGTAGTAAAAGAAGACTTAAACCAGATGTTGAATTTCCAGAGCCTTTTATATTATGTAAAAATCTGGACAATTTTTACTCATTATGACTACATTTTTTTAGATGGTGCAGTATACTCATTCTGAAAAATATTCTACCATGCACTTTAGCAGGCCCAAAGCACACATTTTTAAGATAAAATATAAAGTGTGGGCCTATTAATGCATTTCATATAATTCACACTTCACTCTGATGGCTGTCCTTTTAGTTGCACTAGCATTCTGTTTTATTGTGTGTTAGCATTACAACCTGAATGTCTGATAACACTTGGTAAAATACAAAGCCCTGCTTTTCTATTTTTTGATTTTTCCTCCAACTACAATTAGTAACACTGTTAATGTCTAAAAGTGTAAAAATATTTCCCTTAAGCTTATGCTATAACATGTATGAGCATGTGCTTGTGAATTTCAAGAAGTTTGGAAAATAACAGTGTAAATGAAAGACATTTAATCATCCTATAGCTACCATATTTTTCCCTTTAGAAATTAATACATATACTCTCACCTTCTATAAAATTGAGATCACTTTCTCTTAGAACAGTGGTTCTCAACCTTTGTAATGCCTCGAACCTTCAATACAGTTCCTCATGATGTGGTGACCCCCAACCATAAAATTATTTTTGTTGCCACTTCATAATTGTAATTTTGCTACTGTTATGATTTGGGTGACCCCTGTGAAAGGGTCGTTCGACCACTAAGGGGGTCATGACCCACAGGTTGAGAACCTCTGTCTTAGAATATTGTAAATATCTTTATCACATAAATATTGTTTAGGTATAAGGTTTTTAGTAGTTAGATAATAATCTCTTGAAGAGCTATTTCAACTCTATTTAATTATATCATAGGGTTCCAAATTTACTTGGATTTGCACTCCCTTTCCAGAAAAAAAAAAAAAACAGAAAAACTCAGCACCCCTTTTGGCAATTAAAACCTTTTGTATGGTAGCCCATAATCCAGGATAAAGTATTAGCACCTGTTTTTATAGCATCCCACCCAGGGGGCAGTATCAGCCTACTTTGAGAAATGTTGATTTGCATATATTTAAATACATTTACATTTCACGTTTTGAAAATGAAAAGACCTACAGTAACAATATACTATAAGAAAAGTAAAATAATAGATTCACTGAAAACAGAGTAATGTGGATTTTTTTTCCCTTTAGGAGAGAAGTGTACAGTATTCTTCAAGCTGAAGGTATTTTACTTCCTCGGTATGCAATTTTAAACCGTGACCCAAATAATCCCAAAGGTAAGAGTATTAGATTTAAATATGCTGTCTTCTGCAACTTGACTTGCTTTTAAGATATTTTCCAAGTAAATGGAATAAATTTTAAGAATTTGTAGTATTCAGTTTTTTCCCCTTGCGATATAAATAAATATATTTAATTGAAATGTCACACTGGATGAAATAGCTTCTTCTTAATAATTTGGAAGGGGAGCTGAGGCAGTAGTGGCTGAAGCGGCAGCGGTAGTGACAGTGGCTCCGGAGATGCACTGCTGGTCATGGCCTCTGCCCCAGTGCCACCATGGTCACCCTCACTGAGCTGCTGGTGCACCTGGCCACGGCCTCTGGCTACTTCGTTAACATCGATGCACATGCCGAGGAGTGCTTCTCAAGCCGGTCACCTCGGCACCAAGATGGGCCTCATCTTTGAGGTGGCTGAGGGCGGCTTTCTGGACATGGATGTGGAGATCACAGGGCCTGATAATCAAGGGATCTACCAAGGAGTCCCAGAGTCCAGTGGGAAATACACATTTGCTGCTCACATGGATGGAACACACAAGTTTTGTTTTAGCAGTAGGATGTCCACTATGACTCCAAAGGTAGTGATGTTCACCATTGACATTGGGGAGGCCCGAAAGGATAAGACATGGAAACAGAAGGTCACCAGAACAAGCTAGAAGAAATGATTAATGAGCTAGCAGTGGCGATGACAGCTATGAAGCACGAGCAGGAGTACGTGGAGGTAGGAGAGAGAATCCACAGAGAATCAAGGACAACATAAACAGCAGAGTGGTCCTATGGTTCTTGGAAGCTCTTGTTCTAGTTGCCTTGACATTGGGACAGATCTACTACCTGAAAAGATTTTTTGAAGTCCTGAGGGTTGTTTAAAAAGAGCCTTTTTCTTCCTGATGATCCTAAGCTCATAATTCACTATTGACCAAAAGCCCTGGTCACAATCATGTTGTTAGTCTCTCTGTTTGCCTTTTCTGCACTGTCCATTTTACTTCTGTTTTTCGTGATTCATAGATACTGGGGGTGTGGGGATCACCTTTTTAGGGAGTTGACATTTGGCTGGCATTGTTTCTTATTTGAATTCTGCCTCCATTGTCCAAGCCCTTGCAGAACTCAAGCACTGGAAGTGAAATGTAGGTGTGGCATCCTTAGGTCTCCTTTTGTTTTGTGGAGGTCCCACATCTGTGCCTCAGGACAGTTATGATGGCTTTTGTTGAGCTCCTAGAAGAAACAACAGGCTGAGTCCTGACACTTGCTTCCCAGCTAAATGGCCGAAATCTCTGAGTTAGGAGTCTGTCACCATGATTGGGCACTTTTAGATATATTCTGTACCTTATTTTTGCTTTAAAATAAGACAACACATTACCCCCTGTCCCTACACCCTTCTTCTTCCCTAAATGTTTTACCTTGAACCTTAGGACTCATTCACCTCTACTTAAATTGTTGACACAGACAGCTAGTAACCACTTTTGGTTCCTCCCAAACTTCGTAAGAAGTTCAAGCTCATCTCTGCGAGTTTGGGTGAAATGGTAGCTTTTTTTTTTCTTGTACTGGCATGTCCATGTTCTCCATTCTTGCCACCTAGAAATTGTAGGCTCACATACTTGGAAAGATCTGGATTTCTAATGCCAAAGGGTTAAAGCCTCTTGGATTTCATTGCGATGATATACAGCCACTATTTTATTTTGGTCAGTGGCATTTTGGGCCACTGTTTAATTAGGGTTCTGAACATTAGTGTCAGTTTTTGGGTTTCTGGTTTTATTTCTCCTGGGCTTTTTCTTTTGGCACATGTGGATTTTGTTTGATGTAAAATGAAATGC